GTGAGAACGGAGTGTCCCCACGTGCTAGTAATTGTTGTTGTTGTTGTTGAAAACCGGGGGCTGACGACATAGTTTGACCCTCAAGACTTTCCCTGATAAAAAATAGGGTGCGAGCCCCGGGAAGGGTACTTCAATCGAAAAACACAATGTGCACCGGACGGGGGGGATCAACAATAATTATTCTGCAGGAGTGAGAGTTCAACGCAACAACACCAATCCGCACCGCGGAACCTTCTTTCAACCACGCGCCCAGGGACAATTAATGATCCGTCGCCCCCCCACTCTGATACGTATACAGGTGGTAGTGCGTACGAACTTATATAATTAAAAAATAAACATGTTACATGTTGTACGCATACGCATGCACGCTGCGTGTTTACGGCGCGTGTTTACACAGCGTGATCACAGTAGGTCTCTACCGCGTGTTTGTAAGGTGTGTATGTGCAGTGCGCTTCGGTCGGGATAGATTGGGAAAACGCATGCAGTAGGACTGCGGCATAAGTAGATTGGGTTCATGCCCTCTCGGATGAAAACAAAACACAACAAGATCATATCGATTCTTGAAACAGGAAAGCGCTTGACGTACATTAGGACCTGGGAGATGCAGAAACATCTGCTTTCAACGATCGGCGTCTGAGTGTTCAATGTCTTCTGTACACTTCGTACTCATACAGATGTGACCTTTGTGCTGTGATCAAGGTTCACCGCTCCCCATGCAAATTCGATCGGCTCCTGGGCAACAACTTTGGACGTTGCATGTTTTTAATGGCACTGGCCCCGAAAAATCTCGGTCACTTCCCTGGGCGGGTTTGTCATCCCGAATCGATCTTCGACGGTCCAGGTGCGTGGACACGGCCTCAGAAGGCCGACTACGACGAACGACCTGCCGTCACGATTCTTTCCAGCTCCTGGGTCCCAAAGGGAAAACTCCTTGGCCAGCTTTTGGATTTCGGCACGCAGCAAACAAACATACTCAGCAACGCGCAAACTAGGACGGGGCCTGCCGCGGGGCCATCCTCCCACATCGCTATACCTATCGTTAGCTTCTGCTTCTCAGCCTCCCCCACACTGAATCAAGCGTGGTGCTCTGAGCCCCTGGCCACCGTGGGCTACTCAGGCATTCCAGCAGCGCTTCGCTCGAGGGCCGAGGTGCCCAACGGACCCAAACCTGCCTCAAAGGCGGCCAAAGGGGGCAGCGTGGTCCCTGCATTATGGCTCTAATGTACACTAGGGATGTTTCATCCACAATCGCATATCTGCATACATACATACGCACTCACATGTATACATATGCATGTGTCGAAGTGGTTGCTGCTTCCCGCCTCGGGTATTCAAGTATACTCAAACATTCTCTCCAGATGTACATGTTCTAGTTTCGATGATACCTTCAGGCCCCCCCAAAGTGCACTATAGTTTAGCACCGCGTTCACATTACCCCGATGCGCCCCAACAAACGCCCACGAGCGATTCCAATACAACAGCCTCCAAGCCGCCACTCAGTCAGTAAGGGACAACATTCAAAGACGAGCCCCTTCAGATCCGATGGAGACGCGATGCCATCCGGGGCGCTTCGATTGCACAAACAAGTATAGGTATAGTGTATGTCACAACGCCCGACTGGGATGCTCCTGCACTCAATGCCGATGGGCTGCCGCCATGCCGCATGCCGAAACACTGCGCTGTGGTACCAAACCGCACACGAGTCGGGTGCGGGATGAAACACGAGCGAGACGTACACGTCGTTCATTTCTAATCGTGCTCAGTTCTAATTGTGCTCGTTTCTGATTGTTCCTGGCCCCCTAGTGGCCAGGAAGAGGCCCAGGATAGAACAATTAGAAATGAAAGGATCTTGGCCCCCCAGAAAGTCAAAGAACTTTCGAATAATTAGAAATGAACAGTGTGTATATATCATACATGTGGAACGCACATTCTGGTTGTGGGCGGGTCCCTGGCGAGAAGGCTTGGGAGCCTGGACGAATAAGCTAGAGGCGGTGGTCCACTCGTCGTACGTGTGAATGACCCTCCCCCGAAGGTCGCAGTGAGCATATCTCTACGGTTCTGCTGTTTTCTGCTTCGCCTTGCTGGAAATGGGGGACGACGCCACGTGCTATGAAACCGAGGGTGCCCCTATCAATCGTACGCAGCGCACACAAGAACAATACCTTTCCGAATCGGGTTTCGAAGAGAGCTTCGAATCAAGACTTGCCACGCGCATCCAGGACATTTAACCCTCCAAGGGGCATCCGTTCGCATGGCGCAAACTGTGCTGTAACTGCATTGGCCAGCTTCACGATCACCCTCTGGATTTCTGCGCAACCTGTGTAAAAACGACCTCGCCAAGACATGCCCAACACGGAATAGTACGGGCGCCACGGATAGTATACGCACCGGGGTTGCTTGCATCTCTCCGAACGTCCAGCCTCAAGGATCAACGATAGGCGAAACCGCCGAACCTGATGGCGCAATGATAGGCGAAACGCCGAACCTGACAGAGGACCGTGGGCAGAAACTGTTCTCAGACCAGCAAGCCGAGCATCAACGTATCAAAACCAATCCAAATCGATGAACAGAGACTGAAGCACTCCGCGGGAGCTTGTATGCCAGTTGTGTCCGCAAGTGCGGTTCTTTCAGCGTCGCGCAGCAGTAGCATTTGACACAAGTGATGCGTCGGTGCAACAGGTGCTTCGCGCAAACTATATCAATGGTCCCGCATGAACAAACACGTTTCCATGGACTTCGCAATGATTTGCCGGATGGGTCCCCTTGTGCTCCAGCAGACAATCCCAACCGTACTTCGGGGAAGCAAATGGCTTCCTTCCTTACTCACCAACCCTTCAACCAAGACTATGGCTGTAAGCCGTGAAGGACGATCACAACCTCATTTGCAGCTTTATCATGTGTCTTTTACTTTGGGCGTGGGTGCACCTGAAGTGCAGTCAACGTGCTACCATGAGAAACGTAGAAAAAGGAATGAAGGGGCTCGTCTGGCCACGGCAAGCCTCGACCACGAAGAAGTTCCCCGGCCTAGATCTAAGAAGCGCCCCTACCCCGAACCAGAGCGCTCCTCCTGGACCCAAGGTGGTCCGTACTCCAGGGCTTTGACTGTAATTCAGTAAAGCGAACGAGCGGTCCTCACAACTCGGTTGTGCGATCGCTGGGAAGGGATGGGTGGTGGTGGGGCAGGCTCTCAGGATCGGCGGCGCGCCCAGGGGAAGCGAGAGGGGGCGGATCAGAAGGCTCGGGAGTCCTCCGGCCTTCTGGACCAGGGTGTCTCAGCTTGTCCCGAAGACACACCGCAGTTCTCGGAAGGCCGGGGCGCTTCTGAGAAGCCCCGCCGCCTTCTGAGAGGGCCTTCTCCTTCTCGCTCCCCTCCGTCGCTCGCCGCCGAGGGTGGTCGCGGGGCGGGCTCTCAGGAGTGATGCGAACATGCTCAACTCCACTGTCCCCCTCTTCCTCCGCCTCCCCAGGCCACCGTTAAGTCGGGCCCGCTCCTCTACAGGAGGGATATTCAAAAAATAGTCAACCATTTCGGAATATGTTTGGACTATTTATATTTTTCGTCGAAAATCCCCCTGTAGGGGGACACGCCCGACTTAAGACCACCGATGTCATGCTCCTTCGCAACGTTGTGGGGGGGAGTTTTCCATACCTGTCGTCCCCTCGGGCGGGTGCTGATGGAGGGTGACCTACATGGGGGGGGGGCGAAGAAAAGGGCCCTCAAGGGACCCTTGGAGCCAGGAGGGGCCCAAAAGGGGTCCTCGAGGGTCCCTTTCAGGGCCATCTACTTCACCCCATGGACAATCAAACCCGCAAATAAGGACGCCCCGTAAGGAAGCAAGTGCCCTGGAAAGCCATTTCGAAGCTTTCCGAAGAGGGCGCGGCCCGCGCAAGTGGCCAAGGATGGGCCGAAGGGGCAAGGATGCCAGGGTACCCTTGGGAATGTTGCCAATCCGTATCATGCGGGTTGACTGCAAAAGTCCCCCCCCCCCATGACCATCCGCCCGATCCTTCTTCCCCCCCTCCAACTACCAGCCCCCCGGGCCTCTGCAGGAGGGCGTTCTGGCCAGAACCTTCGGGCGGACCTCGCCGCGGCGATGACAGGGCCCCCCCAGAGGCCCTGCATTGGCCAAGAACGCCCCAGAGGCTCAATCTGGGGAAAGGGCAAGATGCTGAGATCGTCATTCCCCAGACCTCTTTCGGGGCGCGTTCTGACCAGATTTCGAGCGCAATCCCGCCATGGCGACGAGAGGAGCGTGGCGGCATCGGTACCCTTTTCCTCCTTTGACAGGTCCTCGGACGCAGACCCACGACGTCATGACTTGTCTCACAGCGCCGACCCCCAAGTGTCTCGACCCATCCCCCCCGGACCAACTTCCCATCCCGAGTCGTGCGTGACGGCCCCGTGGCTCGGTAAGTAAAGGCCTCCTAGATGCGGCCCGAGTAGATGGAGCCGAGGATAGCACCGCATCGCCGATGCATCACCGTTACACCGACGAGTCGCATGTCGGCGACGCATCGGCGACGACGGCGTGGAGGGAGCCTGGCTCCACGTCGAGCCGCATCGCCGATGCATCGGCGACGCGGCACCCTCCTCGACCCCATCTGTTCGGACCCCACCTGGGAGCCCTGGAGGAAGGGCCCCCGGAGGCCGAACACAGCGAACAACCTTCCGCCGTGCCTGATGATGTTCCAACCTACTTTAGCCTTGACCGCCAGAAGTAGTTGCGAGCACCAAGGAAGTACCGAAGCCTGAGGGCTTTCACGTGTTGGCCCTGGGATGCTATACTCAGGTTCGACACTGTTTCGATACTTGTTCTGGGTGCTCGACAGTATTTCTGGGATGCGGTCCTTGAAATACGATGGGAGCAACAGAAGTCGTGCCTTCTTCACGACGCGCTGGGGGGGGCTCGAGCGCTCGACCCTCCAGGCTATCGACCCCTCCCCCTCCGCACTGCGAAGCCGCACGCGGGCTCCCGGCCCGGGCCCCTCGCCGCGCGCTCCGACAGGTACCGCTCGGCCGCCTGGCCCGCGGAACGCAGGCGCGGGCACCGCCGCACGCGCGCGTGTGCCAAGGCCCGCCTTCCCCGCTGGCCGGCGCCTCCGGCCCTGCGCCCTCCTCGTCCTCCTCCTCCACCTCCTCGTCGTACTCCGCTTCTCTGCCTCCTCCTCCTCCTCCTCCTCCTCCTCCTCCTCTCCTCCTCCTCCTCCTCCTCCTCCCCCCCCCCCTCCCCTCCCCTCCTCCTCCTCCCCCCTCCCCCTCCCCCTCCTCCTCCCCCCTCCTCCTCCCCTCTCCTCCTCTCCTCCTCCTCCTCCCTCCTCCTCCTCCTCCTCCACGTCCTCCTCCTCCTCCTCCTCCTCCTCCCCCTCCCCTCCCCCTCCTCCTCCTCCCCCTTCTTCCTCCTCCTCCTCCCCTCGCCATCCCCGTCAAGATCGGTCAGCATCGAGTCGGCAAACCGCATGGGATCGGAATCGGGGCTGAATCGGATCGGCCGCGCCAGGACGCACAACGGGGCCGGGCGATCATCGGGCCGCGTCGGATCGCCCGACCACCGGAGTCGAATCGGATCGGGCCGACGGGCATCGCCAGCAAGCCGGACCGATCGGATCGACACGGGCCCTGCCCCCCCTCGCCTCACGAGCAGCGAGCGCGTCACTGTCCATGCCCTCGCCGTCAGGGAGAGATCGAGGCGGGGTCGCACGGGCGCGCAGCCCTCCCGGTGGCTTGCCCTCCGCGAGGGGCATCCGCGCAAGGCCGCCCTGTGCCCACGGGGTCGCGGCCGACCGGTCGGGACCGCGCGGCTGTGGATATGCCTTTTGTTGGTCCAGCGCGATTTTGTTGGGAGAAGAAGGACGGACATTGAGAGGGATGAAGAGCGCCAAGAACATGTACGGAATGTGTCTCGGCAGCGTGGCCGATACTCGGTCCACGGAGGCCGTTGGGCGTCGTGCACGGGGCAAGGCGTTGTGCACGAGGGCCGTGGATATGGATATGTTCCGCGCACACGATCGTGCCCGAGGGCGCTGATGTCTTTGCTTTGGAAGTCTCGCGGAATGTTTCTGGGGGTCCTCGTTACCGCGGCTGGGCGCGGGCCGAGAAACCGGCCAGAAGGGATCCCAGGAAGGGTCTGGGGAGCGATCTCGTGTTGCCCCGAGGGGCCAGGCGGAGCAGAGGCAGCCGAGAGGCACACCCTGCCATGCAGCTGTTTCAACCGACGGTTGGGCGTGCTCCACTTGTGGCGTCACGGGCACGAGCGGGCAGTCCCCACGAACCTGCCGCTCCTCGCTCAAACGCAGTTGAAGATCGCGTTGAGTGCACGGTCTTCCACAGACGCAGGCCGCGCCACGTGGCCACGGCCCGCGAGCGCGGCCACCTGGCCGCGCGCGGTCCCCCGCCAAGCGGGACATTACAATCTCACATGTGCGGCAAGGAGGAGCAAACTTGGCGGCGCGAACGAAGGGGGTAGGGGGAGGGAAGGCGTCTCAGAAAGAAGCTGCTTCGTCTGAGGGCGCTGGCCCTACATCTGCAGACAAGGCCCGCGCCTTCTGAGAGGCAGGGGTGCCTCTTAGCAGCATTCCCCCTTCCCCCTGCCCTCCTCTGGGCGCTGCTGAGAGAGAGAGAGAGAGAGAGAGGGAGAGAGAGAGAGAGGGAGAGAGAGAAAGAGAGAGAGAGAGAGAGAGAGACGGCGAGGATAATCAAAGGCGCGACGTCGCCAACGCTGCGCCGTTTTGGCGCTCTGGGCGCTGCTGCGAGTTAGGGGAGCCCACCTTGGACGATCTCGCTCTGCGCGCGCAGGCCGGCGCCCGCTGCCCGATCAGAACTGCAGGCCGCGGCGAGCGCGAGCGCCCCCGGGCAGTGGGGGCGCTGGCCATGGCAGAGGGAGAACAGCTGAGCGACGATCGAACACGGGTCCTGCGCGAGATGACACCGCGACCTTTCGCCGCGGCTTACGAGGGCCGCCGGCGCGACACGCCACATTGGAGATGAGGGCGCTTACGCGCGACCTTACGCGGGCAACTTGCGCGCGATTGTCTCGACCCCGTTTTTTTGCGTCGACCCCGTATGGAGGTCCGCGCAGATTTCTCCGATCTGCGCTGAACCCCCTCCCGGGCGCGCGGCGCGCTCCAGGGCCGGCGCCAGAGGCGCCGACAGGGGTGTCCACGCAAAACCAGGATGTCCGCGAGGAGCTCCTGCAGTTTGTGTCTATGCCGTTGTCCCTTCTTCGACACTTGCTTCACTCGGGCCAAGCGAAAGGGCGGGATAGCAAAAATGGGGGGGGTGAGAATCAGCGCAAGTAGCTGATTTCCCCAGCGCCTCCCGGCGCCGGGAGGCGCCCATGTATCGAGGAATGGGCCCGGCGGCGGGGCCGGAACCAGCTGCGTGCAGCAGATTTCGTGCCCCCCCCCTTTCCCCCTGATCCCCCCCTGTCGCTCGGCCCGTCGGTGAGGACTCGGGCGGCCTCTTGGAAGGCGCGATGGCTTCCGAGAAGCCCGCCCGCCGTCTGCGAAGGCCTGCCCCCTCGGGGGGCTTCCCCCCCGCGGCGCGCCGCCGAGCGCCAAGGGTTCGGGCCCTTCGGGTGCTAGCTTCAGGTCGGGCATGTCCCCCCTACAGGCGGATCTGGGACGAAAGATCCTCTAAAAAACATTGTTACCCCTGGGCATCTGAGAACCCCTGGGACGAAAGATCCTCTGGGACGAATGTCCCCCTAAACCATACTCAAACAAAACACAACAATCCTCTAAAACATTGTTAGCAATCGTCCCCTGACAATGATTTGACTATTTTTGAACGCTCCCCCTGTAGAGGGGGGACAGGCCCGCCCTAATGCCAGCTCGGGCCTCCAGCGGCCGGCCGGTCGGGAAGATCCGGTCACTCCCCGAACGCTCTCGGCGAGGCGCAGCCGCTGGAACGCATCCCGAGGCCAGAACACCGCCGAGCATCCGAGAAACACCAGGAAACCTCGAACCCCGCAGCTGAAACTTCCCCCCCCCGGGCGTGCCGCCGACCACCGCTTTTTTAGGTCGGGCGTGTCCTCCCACAGGCGGATATTGGACGACAGAAATTAAAAGTACGCAGCACAAACATTCAACAATACCACAACTTACACCACAAATCGCTCCCGGATTATTTTTGGGCTATCTTTGAATGTTCCTCCTGTAGAGGGACACGCCCGACTGAACATCGGAGGCGGCCAAGAGGGGGGCGTCCAAGATGGGGGGGGGGGGGGGGGGCAAATCATGGCCGGCGGCATGTGCGCGGTCCGAAGGGGGACCAGGGACGTAAGGAAATAAGAGGTGCCATGAGATCTGGGGAGATATCATGGCCCCCGCCATGATATCCCCCCCCCCCTACAGTCGGGCCGCTGACCCAAGGAGCGACAAATGAGGAACGAGGCCCCTTTTTTCCAAAGAAGCCCATGACGTCCGAAGGGGCACTGGGGGGGCTCGCCGCCCCAAAACAGCGGAACGCATGCAAACCTAAGGAACGCCCGAGCCCCTTTTGAAAAGTAAGTGTTCCTTGTTCAGCGGCCCGACTGTCATCATGATCCCCCTCCTGGCCGCCCCGGGAGATCATCGGTGCACCATCGCCCATCGATCCTCGAGCAGCGGCCCCTCCGCCTCCGGCAGCCTCGGGCCCCCGGGGCAGCGCCGCCGACGCCCTCGCTGCGCCCCCCTCGGGGGCCCACCCACCGCGCCCACCGGAGGCCCCCGCGGAGGAGAGAGGCCCCCGCGAAGGAGGGCGGCAGGAACTCGCCGTCGCCCGGACGTCCATTTCCCGTGCATTTGTCGGTTTCGTGCGTGTGTTTTTTGCTCGATGGTCCAGAATGGTCCTCGATGGTCCTCGCCGAGAAAAAAATGCACACGTCCGAGCGACGATGCCGAGGGAAGCTCCCGCGGAGGCCTGGTGGAGCGCTCACGGAGGCGCCCCAAAGCCCTCGGAGGCTCTGCTCGAGCCCTCGGAGGCGTCCCTTCTCTCGCCCACGCGTGCTGGCCCCGGGGGCGCCTCCGAGTGGGCCTACCGGACCACCCCAGCCCGACCCGAAGGCCCGAATTTCGGGTGTAGGGTGGGGGGGGAGGGCTTCAGATCTGTTTTTTTCAAACGTTCCCCGACCCCCGCCCACTGGGAATGGAGGGCAACTTGGGGTCTTCGGGTTGGGTTGGGACGGTTTGGTGGGTGGGGACCCTCGGAGGCTCTGCTCGAGCCCTCGGAGGCGTCCCTTCTCTAGGAGAACAGAAAACGCCACAACCATAAGCTTTTGGCGCCCCGCGCGGATTTCTTGGATCTGTGCCAGACCCTCCTCCCTGGAGCGCGGAGCGCGCCGGGGGCGGCGCCGGAGGCGCCGACCAGACCACTTCAGCCCAACCCGAAGACAGGAATTTCGGGTTGGGAGGGGGGTGCGGGCTTCATACGTGCTTTTTTCCGAAGTGTTCCCCGACCCTCCCCCTCGCCCACTGGAAATGGAGGGCAACACTGGGCCTTCGGGTTGGGCTGGGGTGGTCTGGTGGGTGGTGACGTCCTCTCTCAACCCAGACGTCGCTCGACCTCCCCGCAAGGTGGCACCAGTCCGTGCTGCAGCGGACGGCCGGCCCAGACGCTGCAAGTCCGCCCTCGTGCCACGAGTCTTGTGGATGCCGTGACAATGGACACTCTAACAATCCTATCATTGAGTTTAAGATGTTTCTAACATGTGTAAAACATGTTCAAGCAACAACAAGCATGTTTTTTGTTGACACATTTGAAACCGATTTGAAACATCATTTAGACATCTGGAAAGTATTTGGCAGCATGCTTCCTCTCCATTAATCGACTTCCACAAAAAAGAGTCACTGTGTATCGGGGCAGGGCGAGTTGAGACAGCGGCAGCTCAAAATCTGCCCCCAAACCCCTCCCAGGGTCCAAACGCGCCAGCTGTCTGAGCTGCGTCCATCCATGGCGGCGAGGCCCCCCCCACCAAGGCCCACTAGCGATGTCTCGTGTCGTCCCCATTTGAGAATGGCGTGT